TTTATGCCATATATAGGTTTACTAATTTTACTAATTACTAATTTTTTATTGATTTGCCCTGCTGAAATTAGGGTGCATCTTATAAACCTGTGCATCTAATATGCCGTCAAATGTGGTAGTTTGGTTTTCAAGGCATTGAATGTAACCAGCCACTTTTTCCTCCACTGAGCTGGGTCAGAGTAGAGATCAGCCGTCAATCACTAGTCAATTAGAGTTATTATTTAGTCATCACAGCAACATTTATTATTATTGTTAAAAGTACATGCATTTATTTGTATATGTGTCGTTTTACTAAATATATGCCTATTTTATTAATAATGCTTGAAAATTTACACTAAGCACTTATGAATGCTCTTCTTTCTGCAACAAAGTGAAATTTGCATCATCAAGAGAGCAAGTTGCAAATATCAATGTAATTGTGCAACCAATTATCTTTGAATCTCTCTTTAATTGTGCAAGTTTATCAGGTCTTGTGACTTGAATTTTATATAATAATGATGATCCAGATTTTGTATGATTTTGTGTTTATTACCATAACACATAAAAGCAGCACATTTAACCCAAATTTTCTAAGTGCAGTGCCATTAATTCTCTTACTTGGCAAATAAAACAATTTCTGATCCAATCAAAGCACTTCTTTCTAATTTTTAAATAACAAAAATCTGGTCAAGGGGGATAACTCCAGATTTTTTACCAGGTAATTAATTATTTCTTTGAGTTTTCTTAATAAGAAAATAAAATGAATATACAGGGAAGAATCTTTGACCCATCTGCATTTTTTACATAAGCCATAGTGTGATAAGCAATGTCAATAATAATAATTTAGCTTAGATATAATAAGCAATGGCAGATAATTATAATATACATTCTATTACTAAATCAGAAATAATAAAGTTCCATACTTATCAATGTCAACTGTTCACTTTCAAAATTTCTCACGCATTAGAACTTTCAATAAGAAAGACATATTTTCAAATACATGACATGTTTAGAATTAAAACAAATTTATGTATTCTCAAATATGTGATGCACTCAGAACTAAAATGAATGATGTATTCTCAAATATGTGATGTATTCAGAACTTTTTTCTAATGTTCACTCAATACAAGGCCCAAGAGCCACTCAAGGCAGAGGGTTACTGTGTGGAGTTGTATTAGCATAAGAAATGGCAAGATAACAGGAAAGATAGCTAATTGTAGACTTGAAGAGGTCAAGGTTTAAATAGTAAATAAAATTTCAGAGTTCAGGCGGATACGTTAAGAGTATAGAGTTAAAGTAGACTTTAGAAGGAACTCAATCCTAAACAGGAAACATGGAAATAAACCTCAACTCCTGTTCAAAAGACTGGGGAGGAGTGTGAACTGGGTGATAGGCAAACCTAAAATGAAAGTTATATTCTCAAATTCAGGACATATTCAGAATTATGATGAACGATGTATTCTTAAATCCATGGTGTATTAAGAATTAAAATTAAAGATATATTGTAAAATATTATTATCGAAAATCATGATGAGTGAAAAACTCTGAAACTTGGATTTGACATTGATAAGTATAGTCATTTATTATTTCCAATTTAGTAGTCATTACTTTTGTCATATAATTATCATTGTATTGACAGAAATTCTATTCATCTTTATATGCATTAAATTATATAATTTAAATAATAAATTATATTATATAAATATTAAATTATTTATCTACATCCAAACAGGTCTAAAAAAATGTTAAATTCAATGTTCATACATCTTTACTGTTTCCCTCTTGATACACAATTATAACCACCCACATTTTTATATCTCTTCTGTAAATATACATATATATAAATATATAGAAATATATAAATATATATATATATATCCATATATATATATGTATATATATATATTTCAATTAAAAGGTGCAATTATAATGTTCATGCCACATTGACGGAAAATCTACCAGTAAAAAAGAATTCTCTTATTGCTATATTTGTACAAAAATGCACAACTTTAAAATTTAAATTCAAACTCAGCGTTGCGACCGCACATTCCAAAACAGTAACACATTTCTCATAGCATTTTTTGGATTACATTTCTATTTTCGTTGTCCTCTTATTACCGAGAAGTAAAAACAAGAACAAAATCTATTTCCATACCTGAGGATGTCTGTAGAAACAGACAAAAGCTTGTAAAAAATTAAAAAGACCTTATGCAACTGGAATTTATGAACAGGGATCATATTCATATACAAGTTTGGGGTTGGTGTATCTTATTTATATTGTTTGCGATGATGTATTCTCGCCATTTAAATCATTAACCTCTATATTTGTTTTTTGTATGAATAATACATGAATATATATATATATATATATATATATATATATATATAGCTTGCATAATTTTTTTTATTTTATTTTTTTCATTTTATTTTATTCTTATCTTATTTATTTTTAGTTTAATTTAGGTTTTATTTTTAATTTAATCTTACAGACACCACATGTTGAACACCAATTCCCATACAATCACCAAGTAACATTGAGCCTGGTCAGTATCTAGATGGGTGACTGCCTGGGAATACCAGGTGCTGTAAGCTTGGATGTGCAGGTGGTGTAATGGATAATGGCTCGGAATTGTTAATCAGAGAGCCAAGTTCCATATCTGGTTGGGTTTGTTATGCTCACTTATGCACAAATACCCTTGGGAAAGCTAGGAATCCACCTCTTCTACCCCAAGCTATGGGTTAATTAGTAAAACTTGTATCACTATAACATTATTATCTCAAAAAAAAATTCTTACACTCTAAAAATATTTTCTGGTTTTAAATAACCTGCAAAGGTTTGATAAGCCATAGAAAATGAATCACTCAATGAAATACTGATTAGCTACACAGCCATCTTTTAAATTTATTTATATGCTCTGGGATATAAATGAATCTACCGCGGCCACAAAGTGAGGGGCCAGTTTATATATTGATTGTAATTCAGAATCGATCCTCCACTCTATGTATCCACATAATTTCTTGTTTATTTATTAAATTCTGATTGGGTATAAATTCAACTCTTCTCCCCCCAGGTATGGGTTAATTAGCAAGATTTGTATCACTAAATCATTATCTCAAAAAAAAAAATTCTTACAATCTAAAAATATCTGGCTTTAAATAACATGCAAATAGTGGAAACAAATCAATCGATGAAATACTGATTAGCTACACTGGTATGTCTTTTAGATTTATCTACGTTCTTTGATATGTAAATGAATAGAATCTGCCATGACCTTAAAATGAGGGATCAGTTTATATATTGATTGTAATACAGAATTGATCCCCCACTATATATCCATATTATAATTTCTTGTTTGTTCATCAAATTTTGATTTGGTATAAATTCACCTCTTCTCCTGACCCCGGCTATGGTTTAATTATTTTTATCATTAAACCATTATAATCTCAAAAAAAAAAAATTCTTACAATCTAAAAATATTTTCTTGCTTTAAATAACTTGCAAACGTGATAAGCTGTAGAAAATGAATGAATGAATTAATCAATTTTTATTTATTTTTTTATTTTATTTTAGTTTAGATTTATTTTTATTTTACTTTAATATAAATTCTATAAATTCATTTTATTATAAATTCTATAAATCAATTTAAGCATTTAAACAAGTAGTGAATAAAATAGAATCAACCGATCCAGTCCATCTACCTGGGAATATTTCCTTAGAAAATAAAAAATATCTCTATCTATAAAAAGGAACTGTGTTGTGTGTGTGTGTGTGTGTGTGTGTAATAAAATGCATGGCTGCTGAAAAAACGGATTTGCACCAAAATTTAATGCACATGCTCCAAGTTAGGGAAAGGCCAAGACCAACTTTGCATTTCCCAACTCCCATCGATAATGGAAATAATCAATTTTTCTCATGCTTCTATGACAGTTTTCATGTAGTTTATATTTTTTGTACTGGCCAGAGTGAGAGCCTATAATGGCTGCCATGAATAAAGGAAGATTCTATTGGCCAGCTTGAGAGCCAACATACTGACTGTCACAAATGTTAACTAGCATGCTAGCATGCAAAAGAAATCGATAGTTGCATTCATCACAAGTGGGAAAAATTTAAATCTGCATGGCACTTTACTCCAATTGGCTCAAAAAAAAATTTCAACGTTGATTCTGAGAAAATCAGAACTGGGTTGGGTGTGAAAAAGTATTTGTTGTTAACATATTTTTTTCATTCGGGTTTTTCCAGTTAGAAATTCCTTTTTTAAAGCTGATCGTTTTGTGTTCATTTTGTTTAGTTCTTTTTTTGTAATAGATTTAATGTTTTACCAATAGAGCAGTGGTTCTCAATTGGGGGTCTACATGGACCCTAGGATGAAATATATAATATTTAGGGGTCCTGAAAAAAACACAATATTTGTGTTAATTAAAAAATAGTAATTATTTTTATTATTATTATAATTATAGTAGAATATTTTATTTGTATTAAATTTTTTTTCATTTAAAAAATAAATTCTTAATTTATACTATTTCTTTGATAATTAAAACCTTAAAATTTATATTAGTGAAGAATAGAAAATTGTTCTTATGTCCAATAGCTATGAAGGGGTCCACCAAGATAAAAAAATTTGGGGAAAGGGGTCCATGGGTAAAAAAAAAGGTTAAGAACCACTGGTATAGAATTTAGAAAAATTTTTGCAGTGTGAGATAGGCAAGATTTTTAAGGCAGTGTAGCAACAACAGCTTATTTGAAGGGCACTTTTTTAAAGGCAAGGAAGGGCAAAAATATTTTATTTCAAGTGATAGTGATTGCTGTATGAGATTTTTCACAGATTTTTTGAAATAATTACGCCAAATTTTATATGGTCATACTGCTAGTTCCATCTAAATAAAAATAGGGTGGTGCATCATTCTGTTGAAAAGAAAACTCCTTTCTTTTTTAATATAGCTGAAGACTCCCTAGCATTCCTGATATTTGAAACATTGAGTTAATCAATCATTTTCCTTTTTGTTCTTCTAATTTATTACAGATGATGAACATGATATGGTTGAAGGAATGTCCGAAGCAGAAGAAAATTCACGACAACTTGCAATCCAAGAATTATTTGACACTGAGGAATCTTACATGCATGACATGTCGATTGTATACGACGTAAGTAAGAATAAATACAAGCTTTACTTTAAAACTGTACAGTAATCCTTCCACTTCAGCAGGAAATGTGTTCCGCAAACCCACTGGATGTCTGAAACGATAGATAATACTGGACCCTATATATGCTTTTTTCTCCAAGTAATATTATGTATTTATTTTATTGTTTAAATGTTATTTTTAGTGGATACACCTATTTGTTTATTTATTTTATACAGTAAAATCCGTCATGTCCAGATATGATTTTGATGTGTATATTTGAACTATTTGGGTGATATGTAACTGATTTGAAATTTTTGTTTTTCAGGAAATTTACTTTAGATAATTGTTTATGCTTATTTCACCCTAATGGCTTGTATTGGTGCAAAAGATGATGAGAATAAGAGGAAAAGAACAAAGGATTGCAAAAAGTAGAAATTTTAAACAGACTAGATGCTGATGAAAGTACATTGTATCTAATGGCTGAGTTCAACATAGGAAAGTCAACATTGTATGATATAAAATCTTCCAAAGAAACTATTCTACAGTGTTCACACTGTCACAATTAAAAAGGAAATAAAAAAACATGATTGTAATGAAACCTGGGCTGAAATTTAAAAAGCTATTGAAAAGGTTGTCAATTTTATGGAAACAAAGCCAGCATTCAGTTATGACAATTACAATAATGCACACAGAGTTAAAAAGCATCAAGAACAAAAGAAAATGAAATGCAGAAAAAGTTGAGAATGATATCAGAAGAGAAAGATTCATCATGCAACAACAATTAAAAAATCCTCATTATATTATTTGTTTTGCATACATGGCATACTTAATTTAATGAATTTTCATTAACATTACATAATTTATTTCTTTTTCCTTAAAATCAATTCCGTTATATTTCACTCACCATTAGCTTATTTTGTTTACTATAAAACATTGAAAATAAATGTTAAACCTGATTTCAGTTCTTTTTTTTTTATCTAAATATAACCCCTCATATCTGGACTTTGTAACTAATTCCTCATATTCAGATGGCCTTTGTAATCCGGTTGTCAGGGATTCTACTGTAGTATATTTATTTCCATCTCATTATCATCATCATTTGTCAACTGTAGTCAGGATCATTGAGCCAATGCGAATGATCCTTTCTTTAGCTGTATAGTATGTGCTACACCAAGGTTACATACAGTTTTGAATTGAAAGTTACTTTCTCCTAGACTGGTTGCCACACAAGGCTATAGAACCCAATCTGTCCTGCTATTCACCCACAGCTAGGGGGAGAAGAAGAGGAGTCATACCTTTCCCAAGGGTATTAGTACATGAATGAATGTAATGGATCCAAATGAAATTCAAACTTGGCTCTCTAATTCCTCAATCCAAGCTGCTATACATTACTCCACTCTGCCTCCACCGTCCATCTACCGGCCTGAATATTCGAGAAATCTTATAAAAATATGAATTCTCTGACAGGATTCGAAACTGCATTCTCCTAGGGCAAACTGTCATTATGTGCTTTAATTGCTTTGCTACAAAAAAACCTACTAGACAAACAAATCCTGAAGAGCAGATCAGATTTAATGACGGTTTCCCCCTAGGAGAACGCAAGTTCAAATACTGCCAGAGAACGTATATTTTCCCAATAAGATTTCTCAAATAATCAGACTGGTAAACGAAAATAACTAAATATACTATTCTCCTAATTACGAATGTTTCTCTTCCTAATTCTTCCACACCCTTGCATGCTAATGGCTGTACTGCCTTACTTGCTTACTTACAATTTAAAAGAAAAAAATGTTTTTGTTTTTTTTTAATCAGTATCACCCCATGGAAGGCAGTGATGCCACTAAAACCCAAGGGGTTACAAGGTGTAGAAGAATTAGGAAGAGAAACAATAATGATGAGCAGAAAGAGAAAAGAGTAATCAGGACAGTAGATAACAATTGACAGTGCATTTAAATCTTTGCAGATTAAAGTAGGCTAAAAAGCAGGGAGCCAGAAGGGAGTTCCGCAAGCAACAAGTGAGAGAGAAGAAACAGCATAGGATTTACAGCTACATCTAACCAACTTAACTGTAAATTGATGAGATCTCAATGTCAGTCTAGTGTTGAACTTAAATTCAAAAAGGCTATGTACTATAGTGAAGAGCACATTCAAAAAATTACCATGAAAGTATTTATAGAAAAGACACAGAGAGGCAACCATGCAGCAGTGGGAAAATGACTGAAGCCAAGCCTCCAGATTAGGATTGATAATATTGCTGATTCTTCTTTAGATTTTTTTAAGGAGCTCAAGGTAAATAGCAGGAACACCAGACCATATGTGGTAGCAATATTCTAATCATGGACAAATACTAAACTTATAGAAAAACTGTTTGCATAGAACTAACAGTTACATCTAGCTAGCTCAACTGTAAATTACCATGAAAGTATTCATAGAAAAGACACAGAGAGGCGACCTTACAGCAGTAGGAAAATGACTGAAGTCGAGCTGCCAGATCAGGACCAATAATATTGCTGATTCTTCTTTGGATCTTAGCAAGGAGCTTGAGGTAGATAGCAGTGGCACCGGTCCATATATGGCAGTAATATTCTAAGCATGGATGAATGGAAGACTTATAGATATGTAAGATAGATTCTAGAGAGAAAAATTTTGTCACCCGGCATAGTGAACCAACTTTCTCAACAGCTGACCTAGCAATGGATTCAATATAATCTTTCCGCTTAACATCAACTGAGAACGTTAGCCCAAGAAGATGCAACAAGTCACTTTCCTGGAAGTTAGCATCAGCCATACTGATGGATGGCAGTGAGAGATCTCTCAGGTGATTAATGGAGAAAGGTTTAGCTTTGGAGGCATTAAAATTAACAAGCCATCTTTTCTCCCAATTAATGATGGACTTGTGGTCATTTTGGATATCAGCTCTATTTTGATCTTGTCGAACTAACCCTAACTATCAAGGCAGGAGTAAATTGTTATGTCATCAGCATTGATACCAAGTTGAGAGCTGATGTCATCGGTAAGGTTACTAATGAAAATTACCAAGGATGGAGCCCTGGTGGGCATCCGCATTAGTATAAAAGGATCTAGACAAGTAGCCATTAAGGATAATTTTTATTTCACAATTTGATAGGAAAGACTGGATCAGTTCAAAAATGTGTCTGGAGACACTGTAACTTTTGAGCTTCTGGAGAAGACCTAAATGCCAGACCCTGTCAAAGTCTTTTGAGATATCCAATGCTACAGCCCAGGCTTAACCATTTTTATTTGGAGCATTATAGATTCTATATACCATGATCTTATTGATTTTATGGTAGTCAAGGAATAGCAGTTTATTTTACACTGTTTAAATGAAGGATTACTGAAAACTCCTTCTTGCTGTAGATCTTAGCAACCTTAGCATAAGTTTTCTTTCCTAAACTAAAATTTTTTTGTTTTGTTTTTTTTATTCTTTGTTTCTTTCACCTTTTTACTTAAAGCAAGCAAAAAGAATTAAAAGTTTTCTTTAAAAACTGATGATATTAAACTTTCCTGATAAAACTTCAGGAAAAAAACGATTATTTTTGGACTCTGGATATGGAAAAATCATTATTTTTTATGGTGGCTCATATTTGTAAAAACTACTGTAAAAAAAGTTCTGTCCCGCCAATATGGCATCCCAAGTTACTCAAAGAAAATCTATGCTTGTGTTTTTCTTTTTAGGTTTTCCAGAAGCCATTGCGGGAAAAGGGAGTCCTTACTGAAGAAGAGGAGCAAATTTTATTTGTGAACTGGAATGAACTTATTATCTGTAATACAAAGTTACTCAAGTAAGTTTTGCAAATAGTCGTTCTGATCCTCCTTAGTGAAAAAAAGGTTTAAAATGATGAAAAATTCAAGAAACATTGTACTTAATCATTGTTTATGTATGTGATTACCCAAGTATTAATCTATGCCCAGGCCTTTTCCCTATTTCACTTTTCTTAACAGAACTACTACTCTCCCAAACAAACGTACACAACAGTGTCAAGAAATCAAAAGAAAATGATTGAATCCATCAACACAGCAATGAAAACAATATGTCCACATGTGACAGTAATTGACGTAATTCTCAGTTAACAGAATGAAAATAGCATTCTCTAAATTCTTCCAGTTGCTAAGGACATTTTGTTTTGTTATTATTAGTTACTATGTTTAATAAATTAATCTTGATTTTGCCTTGAAAAAGTCCATATCAGACAAAACACATTGGCTACCATTAGAGTTTTCCTATTGTCTTTTACATTTATAAGTATGTGGTTATGTGTGAGAGAGTGTGTGAGTGAACAAGTGTGAATGAAACAAAACAAAATTTTAAGAAATGTTATTTTCCTGATTAAATTAAGCAAGCCATTAAGAAAGACCAGACTGGCCGCAGTTTGCCCATTTCTGCAATAGGTCATCCTTGAGCCATGACATTTGTCAGAATCAGCAAATATTGATTTTTTTTTCTTTTTCTTTACAAGTGGGGGCCTGTTTATAATATAAATACAGTGTCAAAGCGATCCCTAATTTTTTATCATTTTAGAAGTAGGGATCTGTGTGACGATTTTCATGGCATAATTTATGCCACCATTCTCCGCTCATCTGTCATTCACTGCACCTGTGTTGACATCCAGTATCGGCCGTATTTGCATGTACACCCCACTTCACTATGCCCACAGATTTACCCACTTAGACGTGATCATATTCAACAAAAAATAATGACAATTGTTTTTTAAAGACACTGGTTGGGAGTTACCAACAATACAATTTCTCACTTAAACGTGGGATCCTTCCTACAGCTTTGAGAAGTAGACTGCTATCATTAACTTTCAGCCACGGAAAAAGGACCCTTACATTTACTGCCTGTCTCTTTGGTCACTGCTGATTGCTCACTGCTTGGCCGCTGACTGTTAGACCCCTTTTACCTTGACTTCCTGCTTCTCTCTGCTTATATGGACTATAGCTGGGGTCCCCACCTCCATCCACTTTTGTTCCAGAAGTTTTAGGACACCCCAAAGCCACATGGGTGGTCAAATCTTTAAAGGACTACTTTTATGACTATCCAAAATCATTAATAAAATTTTTATGTTTCCTAATTCAAAAGGTGAACTGGAGACATGAAACCTGAAAACCCTGGCAATTCAGTTGCTTCAAGGATGGAATGAAGACGAAATTCAGATAGCTGAGTGGGCTTAAAAAGAAGGATTTTATCTACTTATCTTCTAAATCTGAGAAATCTTATTGTTACACCAGTTTATAATATAAATACAGTGGCAAATTGATCCCCAATTTTTTTATCATTTTTTTTATCATTTTAGACATGGGGACTGGTTTGTAATGTACATACAGATTGAAATTGATCCCTGACTTCTTAAAGAGTTATCTGTACTTTGTTTTTATTTACAAATGTCACATATGAAACTGTGATTATGCCATTTAAGAAATCAGGGATAGATTTGACACTGTAGTACCTCCCCACTTTTAAAATGATAAAGATTTTTTTTTTTTTATTTTGACACCTTGACTTGAGAAAAGTCAATTGAAAACTAATCAACAAAAATTATTTTGCCTTTACCTTTTATGCAATAGATTGTCTACTGCCATGTTAAGGCACCTAAAACATTGAAAAGAGAAATCAGGATTTCAAAGATTATCACATGACATGTAACATTTGTTGTGGTATGTTTTGGTGTGGCTATTTCGGCATTGCTTTGGCACCAGACTCTTGGACACAATGAAAAAGTTGAAAAATAGAGATGTATTTAGAAAAATACATAAAACTGTTGTTGAATTTTTTTTTTTTTTAATTGGTTTCAACCCATGCAAGGTAGTAAAGCCACTAAGACACATGGAGTTACTGGGTGTGGAAGAATTAGAAACAGAAACATTAATAATGAAGGAGAAGAGGAAAGAGTAATCAGGAAAGTAGTAGATAGTGATTGACATTGCATTTAAATTTTTGCAGATTAAAGTTGGCTGGAAAGCTTGAAGCTGGAAGGGAGTTCCACAAGCAAGAAGCACAAGAAAAGAAACTGTTAGCATAGAATTTATGGCTACATCTAGCCAGCTCAACTATAAATTTTCCGGGAAGAGAAACTCCCTTCCACGCACCCAACCGCAAGCCAACAGACTTATCGCGGTTGATCTTGGCCCCTGTCACCATCTCATAACAACTGATTTCTTTGCTGATTTCGTCAATCTCGGCTCTGCTCGACACAAGAGCCGAAACGTCGTCAGCATAGGCGGAATACCTGGCGATGTGCTAAGTACCAGGCAGGGCAATTCCAGCGTAGGGACCGGATTCACCTTTAACTTGCAAAGGAAAGGTTCCAACGCAAGAACGTAAAGCAAAAATAAAATAGCGGACAACCCTGACGAATGGAGCGAGACAATATGAAAGGCTCGATCGTACCCTATTCACCTCCACCAGTGCACCGGGGTCGCATACAGAAGTCGGATCCAGGTGCGAAAGTACGGCCCAAAACGGCCGCCGAAAAGAACAGCCTCCAGAAAATGATGGTCAACCCTATCGAAGGCCTTGGACTGATCTAAATTGATCAGCGCTGCTTCACTGTCGATTTTGCTCGATGATCAGGCGCACCATATGAAGGTTGTCCTGAATAGTCCTGCCCTTCACAGCACAAGTCTGTTCGGGCCAATCAGACTAGACAGGACAGCCTGCAAACGGTTAGCCAGGATCTTAGCCAAAATCTTTAACTCTGTGTTTAACATAGTTAAAGGGCGAAAGTTACCTAACCCATCCCCACCGTTTTTATTCTTGCGTAACAACTTGATCACGCCCCTGGTGAAGCGTTGGGGTAAAGACCCCTGCTTCATCCAGTTGCCGAAAAATCAGTGCCAGCAGCGGAACAAAGACGGGCGACTGCCTCAAGTACACTTCAGACGGAAGACCATCAAGTCCCGGAGATTTGTCCAGGCCAACCTGTTTCAACGCATCCCAGATTTCCGACTCTGTAATTGGACCCTCGCACCCTAGCTGCTTCAGCTGCCTCAAGGCAGGAAAGTCAGCTAAATAGGTGTCGAACTGAGCAGAGCTCAGACCGGCTCCCTGGTGAAAAGCTCCTGAAAGTAGTCACGAAAAGCCTCACATATGCCCTCGTTTGTTGTCACGGTCCGCTTATCCGGCAATGTGACGCGCGCGATATGTCGCTGAGATGCATGCCGAGCTTCCTCTGCACGCAATTCTGCGGCCATATTCGTCGCCTCAGAGGACATTCTTTTTAACCAGAGCTTGATCCTTCTTGATAAGCAAGGAGGCCAACTCTGCCTTAGCTAAGGCTATTTCCCCACTATCACGGGATTTCACCGCCCGATCAACTTTCTGCTCTAAAGCCGTTTATGCCGCTTAATCTATCTAGATTGAATTTACGACTATAATCAGCAGCAAACGTTCTGATTTTGGATTTTAGTTTATCCCACCAGGCATTTCCCACAACCGCTCCCGTCAGTTCCCTCTGTATCATTAGTAAAAGCTGGTCCCGGAAATCTTGCTCACCAAATAATGATGAGTTTAATTTCCAGTAGCCAGCCATCCTAACCTTAGGTTTATCTAAGTTTACACGGACCCGGACAAGCCTATGATCCGTATAAACTATCTCATGGAAACTTGGACACCCTAAGAGCCCTACATCGACTCTCCTGACTAAGACTCGGTCTAGATAACTAGCCGAGCCGCCACTATTTGTCCAAGTCCACACTACCTCCTGAGGGTGTTCATTTCGGTACTTATCGACAAGATCAAACATGTCGATAAAGTCCCGAAAATGGTTTCACGTCCCGGTTGTTAGTACCCGAATTTGTCCCTATGCGATCTATATCGGGATCAAGGACGGCATTCCAATCACCCACTAAAACTACCCGACGTGATGTCGTCAAAAACTGCTCGATCTGCGAAACAAGGCAGGCCGCTCAGAATGGACATTGGGCGATAAACCCCAATGAGACACAGAGCCTTATCCTTTATGGTAACGTCCAGCACGCAAAGCCTGCCCGCCGGATCCGCGAAGACAAGAACACACGCAGCCTTCAATGACTTGCTCACCAACCAAGAGAGACCCCCTCGGCGTCCATCAAAACATGCTGAATAGAGGGAAACCCCTAGACAGAATGTTCTCATAGTCACGAGAAGAAAAACGGGTCTCTTGTACACAACAGATATTCACCCCGAGACGCTGAAGATCGCGAGAGAGCCTCGCCCTACAGACTTTCGGACCTCAGGCCTCGGGCATTCACACTTGGCTAACCAGAGAGCCATGATGGAACTGATTAGGGTTGCTCTCCTGCCTTGAACATGGCGGGGTCAGGACACCGACGGCCTCTCCCATTTAGCCTGTACCCATCTCACTAACGATGGTGCCATCAGGAGACAGGCCGCCAATGTCCAAGGGGAACATTAGCTTTAAAGCTCTATACAGGGAGGGGTGAACAAAAATCGGGAACCTCCCTGAACAAAATTGTTGTAATTTTTGACGTTTTTTCATCGTCAAAAAACACGACATCGGTGGAAACATGGTCAAGGTTTCATTTGCATTGGCCATCATGGCCCATATTTGCTGACCAGCTACCCCCGATCTCACCACAGTGAGAACCCTTCTTTGCGTTGGGGAAATTCGGGGTTCTCCACATCTAAATTGTTCAATTTCCGGAAATTTAAAAAGTTTTTAAATCTTTTAATTTTTTGCATGTAGTAATGCCTTTTCTTCTGTCTCCTTGGAAATTCGGCACATCTTCCCCCTGTATTGTATAATGGTCTAGATTTTTTTTTTTTTTCTGTGGTGGTTTCAGAAGCATCCGAAGATGGACTTCTTTTGGCGCTTTTTGCTGTTCGTGTTTTGATGGTGAGGTTTTGGGGGTCTTCATGGGAGAATGTTTAGGTGATGTTTTTTTTGCAGGAGATTTTGTTGCAGGTCCCTTCTTTAGTGTGGTCATTGTTGAATCAACTTCCCTAATAGGTTTAGTGATAGGGGGAGGGACCATGGAATGATGTTTAGTGACAGGGGAAGATGGTGCCGACAAAGAGGTGCCAGATTTCTTCTCAGTCATCCAGTCGTTTGGATTTTAGTTCTTCCTTTAATTTTATAAGTTTTTCCTTCTTCTCGTAGGATGGTTCTGATTGATTAACTTTTCTCGGAGTTTATCCGAGTAGCTGGTCAAGAGTCGCCCTTTGCACTGGTAGAGGGAGTGGGGTTGTCTGTGCCTTTTCCTGATTTTTTGTTGTGGATCTTCCCTTTAGTCTTGCCAACGACCTGCCATTCCCCCTCTCCCTTCTCCCCTAACCGCACTAGCATCGGGCAAAGGCTCTTCGGGAATGGGGGCTGAGATTTGGACCCAACCGGGGATTTTCCTCACGGTCCCGGTCGCTGGCATGCCCACTACAGGCGGGACGGATGGAACAGACTCGCCAAAGGGGGATTTGGTTGGACAGGAGCCAGAACATCAGAGGCCTTCATCTCTGTGCAGGAAGAGGAAAGGTGACCAGTCTTTCCACACTTCCAGCATGCCGGTTTACGACCCGTCACAATTATCGGCATCTTCTGGCTCTTTACATCCAGACAGTTGGGGATGGAGCGGAAGGCATCCTGATCGATCATGATCTCGAAGCTCCACCCCCGGTCAGATCATCAGAGGAAGCACTGAGTATTTGGCCAAACTGGCCCAGATAAGCAGCCAAGTGCTCGCCGACAATGAGGAGGAACCTCATATACTGAAACATTGGTCCTCCGCCTGCCTTCGTACTCTGTTCTCAGAATCAGGTCTTTGGTGATAAGAAGAAAGTAGCAGCATCTTCACAGTCGGCAGGCGTGGGTAACAGTACGTCCCACATAAAAATATCCTTTCCCTTTCACAACTCTCTGAGCTTTAATGCCCAGAGAATATAATGTTTTAATAACAGTGTCTTTAGTGGAGTGACAAATCTTGCGCGAACGCTTGTCCACCACAAAGACTGACACAATTCTTTTTTCAACCTTTCGTAATTAGGCAAGAGCCCATCTGCTGTCACAAGATGTGCGTAGCTCTTGGCCCTCTCGAGGAACTCCGTAATGTTGATTTTACATTTGGTGGGGACTTCCAGCATGAGGGCGTCTCTCCGCCGCTTATGTTTCCGCCCTGAGATGTCTGACTGGTTGCTTCTTGGCTACTTTCAGCCACCTTATTCTTGTCCTGTTGATTTTTCGAAATATCAGCATTTGGCAATGTTTTCGCCACCATAATCTCGTCTGGGACACTTGAAACAATGCCACTATTTTGGCCATTTGAGGCCACCATACTTTTTTTTTCCGGACTATTATTATTATCCTCACAATTAGAGGACACCATACATTTTTCTTCAACTACAGGGCTTTCTTCTAAATTTTTATCAGGAGGGCCCTTTTTTTTTCTTTTTTTTGGAACCAAACAGGTTCTTTTTCACAGTTCTCCTGGGAGCCATTTTTTAAAAATAAACAAGACTTTTTTTTTTTTTTCCTTCACATAAAAAAGCAACAAATAAAAGTATAAATTAAACGAAAGATAAATAAATCACAATAACAAAAAGAATTTTAACAAGACAGAACAGTTAAACACGCAAAAATAAGTAACAGAAACACGTACGCTAAAACGACAAAAATACGTTCAAAATAAAAACAGCCAACAAATACAAATTACAAAAAACAATGAAAACGGAAATGAAAATCACATTTTAAAACGGAAAATAAATAAAAGGTATCTTTTTTTAACAAAAAATACGAAACAAAAAATGCCAAACGACTTCACAAATACAATATGGCTGCCACTAGAAAAAACTAGTCAGCCCAAACATTTAATGAAAAATACGTAAACTAAAAAAAATGAAGAAGAACTAACTAATAGAAAGATAAATGCGTAAATAAATACAAAAATTTACAATAAACACAGAAAATACTTAAATAAAGGAATACAGAATAAATAACAGTTATTTACAACGAGAAAGAAACACTGAAAACACGTAGAAATAAAAATGTAAACAAAGAAAAAAAAACGAAGTCTTACGACGGGCAAAATAAACAATGAAAAAATAAAGTTTGGTGTGGGGAAGTTACTGAAAATGAAAAAATTAGAACTCAAAAATACGTATTAAAAAAAAGAAAATTAATAATAAAGAAAACAACAAGGGATAAAGTATAAAAAAATAGAGGGGAGGGAAAAGAAAGAAAAAATCAAATCAAACTTTTGGCAAAAAAAATTCAATAAACTGAACGTAAAATAAAATAAAAATGAACTTAACGTGAACAAAGGGTTGAAATCAAAAACAGTTCGTAATAACTCGCAAATACGTCTGGCGTCAAACACCGGTCGTATACCGTCGAAAAAGGAACTCTCCTCAAAGAGGTACCATAGCGAAGAGCTCATCCGAACAGTTACCATGAAAATATTTATAAAAAAGATAGAGGCAACCTTACGGCGGTAGGAAAGTGGCTGAAGCTGAGACGCCATATCAGGACCAAAAATATTGCTGATTCTTCTTGGTGTTTTATCAAGGAATGCAAGGTAAATACCATGGGTACCATACCATCTATGGCAGCAAAATTCTAAGTATGGGTGAATGGTGGAATTATAAGATAGATTCTGGAGAGAAAAACTGTCTCACTCAACACAGTGAACCAACTTTCTTAGCAGCTGACCTAGCAATTTGAAAGCATGGATACGATCGAGTACTTGAGGAGCCTTGCTCATAATTATGAAATGAACTAAACAAAGCTACATTACAGTTTTTAGTTATTAACAGATTTAATGTTTTTATTTTTCAATAAAGTTACAGTTTTAATATTTTTTAAAGTTCTGCATTTGAATGATGATGAAGCACTCAACCTTTTTTTCTTTGTGTCTAAAAGCTGGCACCAAATCAGCTGGTACCCAAACATTGTAACACCAAAGATGAACTGAAGGCAAGGATTATAGCAACATTCATTAACTTAAAGAACAAGACCATCCAGAAGATTTGCAGGAAATTCTGAAGTCATCTTGAGACCATGATGGTATTTATCAATCCACCCACGGGATCGAATGTGGCACAAGGCCTTTTTAATGTGGGTATCTCTGAGCCCGTAGGCCCAGCCAAAAATAAATAACCATCCAAACCCGCCGAGGCGGGCCAGTTCCGTCAACCTCCCCGAACGAAACCCCACCCTTCAGCGGAGCTTCGTCCGGGTTCCTCTCTGCAAGCAGAGAGTTCGACAGACACCCGACCCGGCAGCTCACAAAGCGCAGATACTACACTTTGATCCTAGCCATCGGGCCGAGCGGGTATTCTTTTTTTAGTAAATTTAGTCAATAAATCTTGAGACCATGATGGAAGCCAATGGCAATTTTATTGACTAAATTTACTCTTTAGTATTTCAAAACATTATTGTGTAATTATTGGTAAATATATCTATTAAAATGAGATATCAGTGTGTTGTATAGATCTTTGGTGGGGGTTGGTACTCTTGGGACGACTGCGTCAATTTGATCATAATGTTTTATCTCCTTTCTCAGTCGCTGATCACCAGTTTATTTGTTTGAAGATAAAAGAGAATTTCAGCAAAGGGATTTTAAACTTATCTACCTTTGTTCACCATATCGACGTGTACATTTTCTAACTAGCTAGTAGGATCACTCTCTCATCCCACTGGGAAGCTGCTTCCCAGTCATAAAGAAACGCGTCTATATTCTTCAACGTGTAAGAACCAACTCCCTGAAATCCCTTTCTATATCTATCATTCCCATGTTAACTTTGGTAAATCAAAATTGACTTCTTTTGTTTTCCTGCATCTGACCTCAAAGGTCAAAATGAGGAAGTCAGAGCAGAAATACAATTCTCTTAACAATAATAGTCTGCTAAACTATTATTTAACAAGTGTTATTTTAATTTTTGCACTATTTAAACGACAATTTATCCATCGCATTCTGTATAACTAGTGATATCATATACAGAAAATAATTAATTAGTTCCAAAATTAGTTACTTTTTTTTAATGTAAATCAAACATAAGCCTTTAAAAAAAAGTACAAACACTGTAAAACTAGTGTCGATAACTCGCAAAAGAATATAACTGTCACTAAAATTTAAAGAATACTATAAACACATTTTAGTTATTATTTGTACTGTTTATAATTCAGACTTGTTCTCATCTTTGTTGTTGTTGTCACAATGTTACTGCCTTTTGTCAGGTGTATATCAATCCCGGTAACCTACAGGGAAACATAACAAGTAGCAGCAGAAGCACTCATCAGCAGGCAGGTTAGGTTTAAGGCTTCAAGTTCTCCATGCAGAATTGTCCTACAATAAATGGATTAAAGCAATGGACTCAGGGTGAGCAATAACTGAGCAGTACTAAAAATAAAAACTAGACAAGATATCCCTCAACATGGGCAGTGAGACAAGAACAATCTAACCCTGTAGATTAAATAAAGGTTTTCAGTTCGAAATTCCCTATTTACCCAGATTGATGGGTACAACAACTGAAATATTGTGATAGCAGCAACAAAGATGAGAACAATTGTCTGCATGTCAATAGCATATATAAGTTTTTCTCTGTTTTTTTTCCATTTTGCTTTTATTTATTTTACTCAGTTTTTTTAATTTAATACTTTATTCTTGTTTTTAGATCTTTGAGAGTTCGACGAAAAGTGAGTGGGCGTCGAAAAAGGATTAAAACAATTGGCGACATCCTCTGTGAAAATGTTAGTTTTTTATTATTATTGTTATTATTACTGTTACTCTTCTTATTATTATTATTGCCTTTGTTTTCTGTAGTACAAATTGACAACTAATCTTGAAAAGAAACTTCAAGAGACAACTTATTTTTGTATCAGAAGATACTAACAGATGTAAAAATATGTAAAAATTAATTATAGATGTAAAAATTATCTAAAAAATAATTACAGATGTAAAAAATATCTAACAGATGTTGTAAGGTGCAATCAGAGGGAAAAACAAAATGTAATTGCAATCATGGTGTGGAGAGAAATCTATGCAAGATGTGAAAAGTTCCCACAAGTATGATTTTTTGCAATTCCTATATCTTAGGGCTATCAGGTGTTTGATCCACATATTTGTTTGCTCCTTTTGATCATTTTTAAAACCGCTATAACAGGTAATCATGTTGACTTGAGATGCCACATTGTACTGATTTATATCTCAAGATCCTAGTATTTACTTAGTTTCGCAAATGTTTTCAAAGATTATTATTATTATTATTATTATTATTCACCAAATTTAACCTGGCTAAGATCATGAATATGAAACATCCAGTGAGGACGAAACTGCGGGGTCTGTCTGAAAAATAATGGGACTGGTGTCAAAAGCAATTTATTTCAATTCAAAACAACAAAACTACATGGTTCCCCCTTCAAAGTAATCTCCCTAGAGCCTAATACACATTTCAGTCCTCTGCCACACTTCTATGCACTGCCGAAAGGATTCTTCTTGGATGTCCCTCATCTCTGCCATTACGGTCCTCTTGATGGCCTCCACATCATCAAAACAGGTCCCCTTGATGATCAACTTGAGCTTGGAGAAAAGAAAAAAGTTACACGGATCAAGATCAGGTGAATAGGGAGATTGTTCCAGTACAGCGAGGTTCTTCTTAGCCAGGAACTGCTGGATGCTCAGGGTGTTGTGAGCAAGTACACTGTCATCAGGAAACAGCCACGATCTGTCCTGCCACAAAAGCACGTGAAAAAACATGCAATGGTGTCAGAAAGCTAAGATCACATTTATATACTCCCAAGATATCATGTTAAATAATAACACAATCCTCTTATCCCTCTTTCACCCAGAGATCACACAGCACAACCAGTCCCATTACTTTTCAGATACTCCTCATATCTCCACAAATGTAATAGTCTACTATACTAACTTGTTGTTCAAGGTATTTACTAAAATCAGCTTGGCACAAGGCCACAATTTTGGAGCTGTCAGTGAAGTTTGAACTTGTTTCCTATTAATAAATGTTTGAAAGACTCACTCGCTAACCATTACTCATATTAATTTCAACTCCTCTAGTTGATATATTATTTATTTTTTTAATCATTTCACCCCAGGTAAGGCAATAAAGCCACTAAAGTGCAAGGGTTACTGAGTGTTAGAGAATATGAGGAAAAAAAACACTATTAAAGAGAGAGAACTGTAGATGTTAACAAGGTTGTGAGTTTAATGCGTATTTTGGGGGGAAAGTGCATGTTCAATATATAAACAAAGAAGATAGATGAAGCATACAAAAAACTTGAGTTTCTGCTATGGACGTTTATTTCTTTTATGTCGATTGTATTAAAACAAAATTAAATGTCTCTTGAGTACGTCCATTTTTCTTTTGGGTTCAGAAATTATTTATGGGAAGTAAGGATACGAATGAATAAAGATGGTCGAACTCAAGTCACCCTCCCACTGAGTTGGGATGGCCAGATCTCTACTTCATGAAAAGGGTTGTTGAAAACACACCCAATCGATCTCGGAAAGTTGAAAGAGAAAGTTTTTCTCCTTTCTGGAAGTGGGGTGATAAAATCGTCCATGTGACCACAAACCCTTTCCAGTTTCTTTATAACTTGCATCATGGGAAAACAATTTTCTTTTTTTCTTTTTTTATTATTTTATTTATTGGCTCTATTTCATTTTTCTCCAGAACATTAAAAGAACAGGAATTAAGACGACAGTAGATAATGATTGACATTGCATTTCAATTTTTGAAGATCAACAGTTAACTGGAAAGCAAGAGGCTGGAAGAAAGTTCCACAACTGAGAAATACAAGAAAAGAAACTGTTAGCATAGAACTTACATTTACATCAAGCCATTTCAATATTAAAATGATGAGACTGCACTTAAATTCATAAAGTCTAAGTACCATAGAGGAAAGTTCATTAGAATAATTACCATGAAAATATTTATAGAAAAGGCTCACATGTTATGATGGTAGGAAAGCCGAGATGACAACTAAAGATTAATGACATTGCAAATTGTCCTTTGGATTTTATCTAGAATCTTTAAATATATAACAGGAGCACCAAGCCAAATATGGCAGCAGTACTCAAAGCAAGAACATATGGTAGACTTATAAGTATGTAAGATAGATTCTGGCAAGAAAAATTGTCTAGCACAACACAGAGAACCAACTTTCCTAGCTGCAGATCTAGTAATTGATTAAATATAATCTTTCCACTTCATGTCAGCAGAAAACATTATTCTGAGAAAGTGCAATGAATCACCTTTATGGAGGTTAGCATCAGCCATGCTGATGGAAGGTAAAAAGGGTTCTCTCAGATGATTAAAAGCGAGCAGTTTCTTTTTGGAAGCATTAAAATTAATAAGTCATTCCTTGCCCCTGTTAACAACAGAAATTAGATCGTTTTTGAGATCAGCTGCCAATTTAACCTTCTTGAACTGATCAGACTTAAGATAGGAATAAATGGTTGTTTCATTAGAACAGATACCAAATTTTGAGAAATTTTCTATTATAAAAATGTCTACATTTCTTTACTGGTGTCTTCCCTTACCAATAAAACTTGCATTCTTTTTACAATATCCTTTTATTCTTTTTAAAATATTGCCAATCATTTTGAACAATTTACATTGCTACTGCTTACCAAGGTAAAAAAAGAAATTTGAGCAGGCTATCTTTCAGCTGTGAAAATGTAACAAAGCCTTGAAAAAATGTCATAGATTTTTAAGCAAAGAAGAATTTGGTGGATAGAAGAGAAGCACCAAACCACAATATGTATATTTTTAAAAACTACAGAAAACCACAAGTAAAATGGTGATGCTCCAGAGAGGCAATAACATCCTTGTTTCATTTGCAAAATGACATTGAATTGTTACAATACCATCAACTATGTATTTTTTAAATTTAAACAGATCTGTTCATATCGCTATAAGTTTATGACTTGTATGTTAATTCTACTTTTCTTGATTTTTGATATTCCAGTTTCCACATTTGAGGCCTTACATTCGTTTCTGTAGTTGCCAATTAAATGCTGGGGTGCTTCTACAGTATAAAACTGAAAACTGCTCAGATTTTGTGGAAGTTCATAAGGTAAGCATCTTGAAGTAATTCATTATATTTTATTAACTCATAGAAATTGTGTGGTTACTAACAAATAAGATATTATTAGGGATATTATAGACATATTAAATAGAAAATTACATCTGCAAAATTAATAAGCAAAAAATATAAAAATAAATAAGATAGTCTATAAAGAAAGAAAGAGTGTGTAACATTAAAAAGAAAGAAAAAAGAGTGGTTTGTATGAAGAAAGAGATAATGAGTAATATTTAAAAGAAAGAAAAAGAAAATTTGGATAATATTAAGAAAGAAAGAGTGGGTAATATTACAAAGAAAGAGTGGGTAATGTTAAAAAAGAAAGAAAAAGTGGGTTTATTAAGAAAGAAATAAAGAATTAGTAATGTTAGAAAGAAAGAAAGAAAGAAAGAAAGAAAGAAAGAAACAAAGTGTGGTTAGTATTAAGAAAGAAAGAGTGGATAACAGAAAGAAAGAGTGGGTAATAATAGAAAGAAAGAAAATTTGGATAATATTAAGAAAGAGAGAGTGGGTAAGAAAGAAAGAATGTGTAATATTATAAAGAAAGCGTGGTTAGTATTAAGAAAGAAAGAGTGGATATTAGAAAGAAAAAAGAAAGAAAGTGTGGGTAATATTAAGAAAGAAAGAAAGAGAGAGAGAGAGAGTTGTTAAGAAAAGAATGAATGAATGAAAGAAAATCATGGGAAATATATCTACCAACAGACACGCCCAGCCTTAGAGCACTGAATCATGCTATTATGATTTTTTTTCTATAGAAGCACACTCAATGTCAAGGCAAGCAAATCATACAAAATAGCAACTAGGAAAAGATAATATGAAGAATTAAAAAATAATTTACAGTTTGATCCAACTGCACCTTTTTTTCCTCTCAAAAAATAAGTAAATAACAATTTTCGGATCAGTTGTATGGTAGTCATGCTAGCTTTAGACCCAATTTGTTCAGGCAAAATCCGTTAGAATTTTGATTTACCCTTATTTGCAGTAAATGAACATGATCTTAACAGTCTTCTACAACATCCCTGTACACCAGAACTGACCCATGAATGCATTACCTTGAAAATTTGGATGTCATATTTGCTCTTTTCAGAAAAAGCTTTGTTTTGGAGACATTGAATGATACAAGCCAATGTCTTCCTCGTTGAGCTGTGAGAGCATGGTCAGAGGAGAAATCAGCTGCTACACTCTGGTCATTCAGATATTTGGAGGTGCACTCATACACCGTGGTAGCATCTGCATATATATTTAATAAATATCTGAGAATGTTCTTAGGCAGATCGTTAATAGAAAACTGAATGAGAGTAGGACCGAGGCGAGAGCCTTGGGGGATGCCAGCATTGATCTCATGTACCTCAGTGGACTGTTCATTAAAAATGACCTTCGTAGACCTTATTATAACTGAGAAGATTTTACCAGAGATTTCATAGCTGGCAAGTTTATGTAGCAATCCCCTATGCTACACCTTGTTGAAGGACTTTGAGATAGCTATTTTAAGTGTTCCTAAGATGTGTTTATTGATTGTATATGTCATAATAGTTAAAGAGATCAGCAGTGGTTCAAGAGGAGCAAAACCTATACTGTTTGTTGTTTTTGTTGTGGTGGTTAACAATTTTCTTGTTGATGATAGCTTAAAAATTTTGTCAGTGAGACTAAAGAAGTTGATGGGGGTGATATTGTGGTAGAGACAAGGGATCACTTCCATTCTCATGCATAGGACATACACTAGACACCTTCCATGGGCTTGAGAAGCATTTCTTCTTTAGTCCAAGATTGGAGACATTTCTGGGCCAAGGTTCTTGAGAACAACTACAGGGAATTTATCCAGACCAGTAGACTTCATAGAGTCACAGCTTTTGATAAATCTGGAAACCAAGAGAAAGATATCATGAAGCATATGCTCTATGATGTGGAGGACGTCAAATAAGTAATAGTCTTTGTTGTCTAATGTAGAGTTAGTGTCAAAGTTCAACACAAAGAGCTTAGCCTTATCTGACAAGGATGAGATTACTTCTTAGCTAATTTTAATAGAAGGCACTGATAGTTTGCATCTACTAAGAATTGCATTTGTGATTTTCCAGGACTTGCAGGATCCAAGCTTTTTTTTGTTTTCTTCTTTGGCTTGGACTGCCTGCACATAACTTTTTTTTACATGATCCAGGACTTTTACCACAGTTGCACACAGTTCTGAATGAGGCAAGTGTTCTACTGCACCATCCCTACAGTCAGAGATAGCGGTTGCAGTGGGCCATGGCTAGCTATTTGGCTTTTGTTGGTATTCTTTGTGGCGGATAAAGCTTTCTATGCAAGAGAGAATCCATTAAGAAATGCAGGTGTCTGTTCTTGACGCTCTGTTTTCAAAAAGAGCTAAGAGGAGTGCTTTTGCAAAGTACAATCTGACGCTACCCCAACCAGTTTTGATATCTTATGAAATGTCCTGTTAAAGGAGGTCTTTGATTTTGAATCAACCTTGACATGAATCAATGTCTCATCTGACGTGCTCAAGAGAGGTAAAACCTCTGTGGAACATTGATTTGGGTTGGAGGTCAAAAAGAGATTTAAAAGATTAGCATGATGTGCAACTATATCGGGAACACAAATAGGCCTACATATAAAAATTTAAAATTTTCCAAAGACCATATTCATCATTTTTGTGCAAAATATAAAAATTTTATTCCCTACTAAATCAAAGTTCTTGTGTGAAACACAAAAACCTAGTTAGTAGGAATAGCAAGTCATAATATAGGTGCATATTAACAAAATAAATAGCTCAGAAGTAATCTCATCCTTGTCAGATAAGGCTAACCTCTTTGTGATGAACTTTGCCTCCAACTCTACATTAGACAACAAAGACTATTCCTTATTTGACATCCTCCACCTCATGGAGCATAAGATTTGTGATACCTTATCTTGGCATGAGAGGTTTCCAGACTTATCAAAAGCCATGACTCTAAGAAGTCTAATAGTCTGGAAAAATTCCCTGTAGTTATTCTGAAGAACCTTGGCTTGTAAAATTTTATAGGAAAAACATTTGTTACACAATTACGAAAAAGGTACAAATATAAAGTTTGTACAAAAATTTCCTTTTGTGCAACTATTAAGGCAGGATAACAATTTCTGGTAAAAAGGATTAATATAGAAAAATGGAAAAATTAAAGTTTGAGAAAAGAGAAGAATTTTGAAAATGACAAAAAGAAAAGATTCAAGAAGGCCGAAAAACAAAGGTGAAACGACCTTTCAGAAAAAATGAAAACACCTACTTTTACTTTCCCCACAAATGTCTCAGTGACAGAGATTTTGAAAAGTCCCTTTCAAATTCACAGTTTATGCTTAGGAAAGTTTCTTAGAATTCCTTTTATTCTTTGTTGTCCAACTGCAAGAGAATTTTCACTTGAACTTTAAAATTCTTTAGTCTCTTTTCAGTTGGCTTGTAATCTTGTAACTTCTTGAGGCTCTCTTCTTGATGTCAAATGCCTTCTGTTCCTTGTTGTTGATTTACCTTGTTCCCTTACTGTTCCCTTAAGACAGTGGTTTTCAACCAGGGTTCAGCAGAACCCTAGCGTTCCGCCAGTAAAGCCCAGGGGTTCCGCAAGAAGTTACACAAGTACTATGATTGACAGTAATTTTTATTGCAGGGGTTCCTCGAGCCACTGGAATGTTTCCTTGTGGTTCTGCTCCAGCAAAAAGGTTGAAAACTACTGCCTTAAGGTCTCCACAGCAGCTACTGACCCAGGTCCTTATCTATTTGGAAAAATAGGCTCACAAGGCCTCACCTTCGGCTTCCTACGAGGACTTGAGACCATGTCTCTCATTGGTCAATATATATGAAAAATGAATTTTCCATAAACTAGCAATAGATGCTTCACAATTTTGGCAGGTTTCAACAGCTAAGCCAAAGAAGATATACAAGTGTAACAATTTTTACACAAACTGTGTGGCCTTCATAAAAATACACTTATCTCAAAAGAATGTGTACTAAATAAAGCAACCCAGACAATTAAACATTTATTCAAGGTTAAAATTTTAAAAGTAGTAAAAATAAGATTTTTATATACCCACAATGTAGGTCAGCTCATAGGCTATTGTGACGCCATTTGTAGTGTATTTATGACAATGATCTCCAATCACCCATCATTCACTGCACCTGTGATGACATCCAAAGTTGACTGTATTTGCATATACGCCCAACTCGCTATGTGCACAGGTTCATCTCCTTATTGGCCGTGATTGCTTTCAACAAATAAAAATAATGATGACAAATGTTTTTAAAGACACTGGTTGGGAATTTACAACAGTACGATTTCTCACTTAGCCAGCTATCTTTTCCTTTGGCTGAACAGCTAACTCCCTAACTTCAACTGGTCCCTTCCTAACTAGCCTCTGGGCTTGGTAACTCCTTATTCCTTACTACCAATCCTTCTGTCACTGGCTGCTGGGCAGCTAGCTACTAACTCCTCTGGTCACCTCCTCATGGTTGAATCCCTCTTTTTTGACTTCCTGCATCTGTCTCCTTATATGGATAATGACTGGGGTCTCACTTCTCTCCATCCACTTGTCTTCTAGAAGGTCTGAGGCCACCCCAAAGCCACATAGGTGATCAAATCTTCAGAGGACTACTTTTATGACTATCTAAAATCATTGATAAAATTTTTGTTTCTCAATTCAAAGGCAGCTGTGGATATAAATCCCCCAAAACACTGAAACTTAAGTTTACTCAGAAACAAAATTCCTATGAAAGTCAAATAACTAAATGAATTTATCTACTTATTTTCTAAAGATGTGTGAGAAATCATATTGTCACACTATGAAGAATTTATAATAGTATTTCTCCTCTTCATCAGTTCAGTTTAAGTGGACTAGCCACTCCTTGTGGTAAACGTTAAAATCACCAAAACTTTGAATGGTAGCTGAGGGATGAACAGACGATGTCGTCAATCTTCTCTGTTATTCTTTCAAACATTGCAATACTATCAACTTAAAGGGCAACAGAAAGTCAAGATAAACAACATACTACCAATAAGGCCCACTGAAAAGCACGTGGACGGGAAATCAGGATCCTCATATTTGGGGTCTCTACTGGATATAGGCTTCAAGCCCATGGATGTGTTTACTTAAATGTTCAACATTTGTCAGTAGGAGTGAGTAGCTCGTTATTATGTAGTCTTGAACTGAAATAGAATGTTTGAGTCCTGTTAATATGAACAGGATGTCAGGATTGACCTCCTTAAAATGGAGTTCAACCTCCGGATAGTTGGATCATAGACCCCTTATAGAAGATTCAGAAATCGGGGTATACTTTTGGTATGGATGGTCTGGTTTGGTTTCTGTGTATGGTTTTTTTTACTTCATTTTTGGTATAGGTAGGTTCTCGTGTCATCACCAAAGTTAAGCAACATTGAGCCTAGTCAGTATCTAGATGGGTAACCACTTGGTTACCAGGTTCTGTAAACTTGGATGTGCAAGTACTGTAATGGATAACTGCTCGGAATTAGAAATCAGAGAGTCAAGTTCCAGTTCCTGTTTGGTTCGCTATATTCGTTCGTGCACAAATACCCTTGGGAAAGTTACAAATCCACCTCTTCTCCTCCCAGCTATGGGTTAATTTGTAACACATGTATCATTAAAAACTCAAAAAGAAAAAAATTCTTACAATCGAAAAAATATTTTCAAGTTTTAAATAACCTGCAAAGGGTTGATAATCCATAGAAAATGAATGAATCAATCAATCAATGATTTGTAGATGTGATTATAAGATTTTTTTTTAGCAAGGATTCAAAATTGATATTTTTTTTTTTCCATTTGTAGATTTGTGTTCAAGACCCTCGTTGTAAAGGGATGCCTTTAAGCAGTTTTCTCTTGAAACCAATGCAAAGAATCACTCGTTATCCACTTTTAATAAAAAAGGTAAGTTTTTTATGTCAGTAACAACCAACTTTTTTATCTGCTTATGGACACAATTTTTGTCATTGGCTTTATCTTGTTATCCAAGAATTTTATTTCTTCTTTGCTGATTGCTTCCTTTATAATGATGGCCTTGATGACTAAGTAGACCAATTCTTGCATGGAAGAGTCGATGGCCATGGCTGTTGGTGGAAGACAAGGTTAATTTTGTCAAGCCTTTCTCTCTTGTCGTTTCTTACTTTTCTCTTCTGGTGGCTTTCAATCTTTTTCATTCCAATGGTGATGGAACACCACCAGTTGGTATGGTCTTGTGCTTGTATTTCAAATGATTTAAGTTCAAGTCCAGTAGCTTTCATTGTTGTTTTGAGTTGGTCCTGGTATCTTCGAAGAGGGTGACTCCATAGTTTTTTCTTTGAAGCGAGCACACTGAATAAGACTTAACATGGAAACCTTGACTAAATTCACCGCCAACATCCAGGTTCAGGATTAGAAGTTTCCAGTTTCATCAAATCCTGCTCCCATCATCGATTCCCTTTCACTATCATTTATTTGCTTTTATTACAAAAAAGCTAAGTTTCTTATGCTAGTAACAACCAACTTTTTATCTGCTTATGGACATAATTTTTGTCATTGGCTTTATCTTGCATCCAAGAATTTTATTTCTTCTTTGCTGATCGCTTCCTTTATGATGATGGCCTTGATGACTAAGTAGACCAATTCTTGGAGGGAAGAGTTGATGGCAATGACTGTATAGTAAGGATGAGATTGAGTTTGTCGGGCCTTTCTGTTATACTGTACCTATGGACTATAATGTGTACGTCCCAATCTCCATAAATACATTGGAATATACTGTCTGGGTGGAGATTCACCACTAGTTCACAACTAGTAGTGGTTTACTTACAACACACTTTTGGCAAATCTTGCATGTTGGTAATGTTATAAAGATTAACATTTCATTTCCAACCTTCATATTGTTTATTCTCATTCAGTAACCTTTTCTAGATTACAACACTTTCTCTCTTGTCGTTTGAATTCAACCTTTTCTCTTCTGGTGGCTTCCATGATTTTTTGTTCCATTGGTGATGAAACACTGCCAGTTGGTATGGTCTTGGGCTTGTGTTTCAAACGATTTAAGCTCAAGGCCAGTACTTTTCACTGTTGTGTTTTTTTTACTTTTCAGGTGTATTTTTGTTATATTGTGTGTGTTATTTATCTTAATCTGTACTGCAGAGTATTGCATAAACCCTTGGTGGGGGTTAATCTTGGGCAACGGTGTCAATTCAATCATAAAATTGCTTTCTTCTTTCACAGCCAGTGATCATTAGATGCTTTTGGTTCGGAGATAAAAGAGAATTTCAACTCAACTATTTTATTCAACACCTTGATGTGTACATCTTCTAACTAAACAGTGGGGTCACTCTCTCCCTTCACTGGGAGACATTACAGTCACAAAAGGAAAACATTTACATTGTATGATGGTTTAGACTTGGCTCCCCCCAAAATCTTGCTCTATTATTCCCATGCTAGTTCAGCCAATCAAAATTGACTTCCTTTGTTTTGTCCTGTATCTGATCTCAAAGGTCAAACTTAGGAAGTCACAGCAGAATTCTCTAAAAAATAATAGTCTGCTATACTATTATCTAACAAGAGTATGTGATTGAAATAAAATGTCAGCACACATGAGAAACCACCATCAGTTTCTTTATAGTTGTTCATCTCCTGTAAATGGCAGTTTCCTATTTTGCCCTAAACAGGCCAGCACAGCCTGGCAACAATGCTATAGCAAAGTAGCTGTAATTTTAGCTTCAATATATTTTCAAATGCTATGGTCATCTAGTGTGTAGACAATCACAGCCCTCCAGAGGTTCCTTTACTTTATTAAATAGGAATTGCCATTAATTTTTAGAAAATATATTTGTGTGTTCTTCCATTGGCTTTTCTATGGTTTTAAATTCAGAATAGTCCTTCTTCTAGAGTGGATGCTACTCAAGGCTAAAAAGCCCAGTCTACTCTGCAATTATGCTCATAGCCATCAGAAGGAGAGCTGTATTCACGACTTTTCCATTGCATTATTGTGAAAGTGAAATCAACAGACTAAACCTTAATTTATCTACTTATGGCCACAATTTTTTTTTCTTCTGGGTTTTCATTCTAGTTGTTATATATTATGAAGCTTAATTAGTTTCAATATTAAATCATTTTTTTTAATTTATAATTATTTAAAAATGCTAATTATCACTCGACTTAATTATAATTATCAATAGTATGGTTTCTAAAGATTCTCTCATTTATTTACATGTGAATTAATTTTATTGTTGCTATCACGATGTTTCAGTCTTTTGCATATTGAAGAGACAATAGCCTAGTATTGGTTGATTAATTTGCTGATATAGTAATTGTAGGTTCAATCCCTGAGCCAGTTAGTGTGTGCTTAGACCCAGTGGAAATGGAGCAAGCAACAACTGAGAAGTACTAACTAAGAACTAGACGAAATATCCATACATATGGGCAGAGACATGAAAACAGTCTACCCTTGTATATTAAAGTGTTCAATTCAAAATTCCTTGAAGGTTACCCAGATCAGCAAATACTTGAAGAAGGCTAGAAGGCACAGCAACTGAATAATAATAACAACAAAGATAAGGACAATAATTTGCAGATAAATAATGTAACTAACAATATCACCTCATGTCAGAAATTCAGACAGAAATTTTTTTCTGCTTATTTCTCATTTTCTTACTAAGAAAATTAAGGACTGACATAAATTAATTTGTAATTAGCAGTTAACAGACATGGAGTTATTTCTCTTGGATAGGCACTTGCTTTGTTTATGCTTGAATGTTACTTGGAAACTAGTGGTCTGATTGGATTGAAAATTACTTTATTTTTTTCATTTGGTCATTTTAATTGTATTGCACTAACAAAAATTGTGCTGAGATGAACAGTTTTTGCTGTGTTGTGGTAACATATATAAACATACAAAAATGAAATCATTATAATGAAATTTTGGTAAGAAAAATGTACATTACTCACACTAAAATGGCTTAAAGTTTTATGTAAATTGTGGTGTATGCCTTAAAGACTATTATTTTATATTTTGTAGATTCTGAAACACACTCCTCCACATCACCCTGATCATATTCACTTAACGGAGGCCCTTTTACAAGGAGAGGAGTTGTGTAACCAAGTGAATGAAGCTGTACGTGAGAAAGAAAATTCCAATTGTTTGGAATGGATTCAACAACATGTCCAGTGTGATGGATTGGCTGAAGTAAGTTTTCTTTTTTTTTTTTTGTCATTTCAACCCCAAGAAAGGCAATAAGGCCACTAAGATATAGGAGGTTACCAAGAGTGAAAGAATTCAAGAAAATACAAGGACAATAAAAAGAACAGGTTTCAAGAAGACAGAAAATGACAATTGACATTGCATTTAAATTTTGTAGATTGTACTCGTCAGGAAAACAAATGCTAAATACAATTGACTTCTCATGCTTGCAGCTTCTGATTTTCATTCTTAATCAGAATGCATAGGAACATTCTGTCTTGAAAGCATTCATCAATTTTGAATATCCCAAAACAAGTAGGATAGCTTTCTATGTCTTCTGGCTTTTCCTCAATCTAATACACCCACTCCTCATTTAAGATCAGTGATCCGTTTCAGCAACCTAGTCTCTAAACAAGTTGAATGGTGTTGTGGAGTAAATAAGACACCCCAGGTAACAAAAATGAACTAGGCAAGATGCCTTAAATAAAGAACTCAAAGTGAGTCAGTAAAAGTCCATTGGAGTCAGTTAGGAGGAATTCTAATGACGTCATGGCAAGTAGCCTAAGCAAGACATAATATTATAGCCACTAGTAGTGAGTTATAAGAAATGGTAAATGGGGTGTTGTACCTGAGAGCTATTTTAGGCATACTAAGCATGTAATGGGTTTGCATCATTCAGCTTCAAATTGTTTTAATGATTCTTTTGAACAATTTCTAACTTATTTCAAAATCTTTATACACTATAGTAGTGTGCTGAACATCATCATCATCATTTATTCAATTAGTGCATTTTGCACCACTATGGTGACCCCTCCCCTCCATAATTGCAGTTCATGGTGACATTCAAGGCAAAATGCAATGGCTTTCCAGTTCCTCCTTTCAGTAGTCCCTCCACCCACTGGTAAAACCATTGATATGTGAGGTGCAGCTCTTACACCCAGGTTGGTGTCTGGCCAATGGCCACTTGGCAGAAGTGGCTTGGGGAGGTAGATTCCCCTTCTGGTTATGTTAGGAAACCCTTCCGACTACTCTCCCACAGTTTAGCCAACAGTTTGATGCTACTGGCCAGAGTGTGGCTGTTACAGTGCCTTGCCCATGTGACTTCTTGGAGACTGGAAGTTGACTGTAGGCCATAGACCATTACAGTCCTGCATCCCAATTCACCTAAGTAACGCAGGGTTGACTGCTTTACTGTAAAGGTACTATCACAGACGATGCACCCCGAGTGTGCTAAACAGTAAAGATAATAAGCAAATTTAGAAATCAGCTTTATATTCTGTACATTAATTTGGTTTGCATTCATTTTTCACTATATTAATTCATTTTATTTATTTTCATTCATTTTGAAGAGAAAACGATTACAATCAAAGTTTTCATACAATGAACAATGCTGGTTGTAACTCCTGGGATAATTAAACAAGTAAGCCATTGATTAAGGAGTGGCTATATTGTCATTGAAAGGAGAGGATTTCAGACGATAGACAAACTCAAGATTAATGCAATGAAGCAGCTGATGGTAATCCCAAAAGAGGACTTTATAGACTGTTTAAAAGGGATAACTTTTTGAAGTCCTAACGGAAGTATTTTGAAGGAGTGTGAGGTACTATTGCTCTAGGTAGGCTATTTTTTGACTAATATTACATGGCCAAGTACTTATACAGGGTTCACTGCAAACTTAAATTCAGGGAATTGAAAAAAGTTACTTCTTTATTTTTAAGAAGAAAATTTTGATGTAATTTTCATGAAAGTCAAGGATTTTTCTTATGCAGTTTCATATGCATCAGCTGACATGTTTATATATTTTTAGATTAAAAATTGAAAATAAATGCTGAATGTTATTTATGTGGCTGTTTTCTGAGATCCATAAAATTGGAATAAAAACATATGCTTCTTTCAATCTTGATTGGATGAACCAAAGTCTTAATCTGGAAATTTGCTTTATTAGTCTTTCCAATGAATTCCTAAAACCATTTTCATTTTCTCATCAATGAGTTTTTTCAGTTTGTTTTAATATTTTGGGGATCATATTTTAACAACAGTTTGAACTCAAAAAATCAAAATATTTTGCACCTTCTTCCAAATGGTCAGTCTTCTGTATCTGAAAAGTTGAGATAATTTAAATCTAAATCCAGTGTCAAACATCAGCTTCTGTATTTTTGAACCCTGTTCTTTTATTGTCCTTGCACGTTAATAATGATTTTTCTCAGATTCTTTTACTCTCAGAAACATTTTGTATCATACTAGCTTTATTACCCTACTAGGCATGAAATGATTAAAAAAGTTACAAATCAGTCAAATTCCATCTTTGCTATATATATATATATATATATATATATATATGGGATTGGTATAGATGGAATAAAATTCCAATAACCAAAAACACTATTCTTAAAAAAGTGCTCAATACAGAGTAGAGCAAATATTATTTATTCAAAAATTATAACATAAACATGTTATAACATTACTACAAAAATAGCCATTTTGTTTCAACACTTCTGATGTCTTCTCAAGTTGAATATTCAATATTTTTGTAGTGATTTTATAACATGTTTATGTTATAATTTTTGAATAAATAATTATATATAATTGTTGAAACCTCCTGTTGAGTGTATTGAAAAATGACAAAAAGTTTTGTATACAAAACTTTGGAGTTGAGGTGTTGAATATAACATCAATCAGCGAAGTAACACATGACAAATTTTATATCTGTATTAATCTTTTATATATATATATATATATATATATAATTAATACAAATATAAAATTCTAATATAACACTAATCAGCTAAGTGACAAATTTTATTTGTATTAATCCTATACACACACACAGACATACATACATATATATATATATATATATATATATATATATATATATAAATATAGATAACTAGACTCGTTTTGAAAAAAACCCTCGAATTTTTGATTTGTTAATCAAATCAATCTCGAGGGAAAAAAAGGTTTTAAAAAAGAAAGAGCTACAAACATGAACTTCTGCTGACAAAAAAATCGCACAGATGCAGGTCTGAAGCCCAAAGAAAAAACCCCCGATACGAGTAACAACTAAAACAAATATTCAATAAATATAAATAAAAATTTATATGTATAATTATTTATATATTCTGACGATCACTAAAGAAAAGTGAAACCCTGAGGGTCACAGTTTACATCTATTCAACCATATATATATATATATATATATATATATATATATATATATATGTTGTATATATTTTTGTTGTTATTATCACATTTTTTTAGATGACAATAAATATATCATCAGGTGTATATGATCCAGGTAATATATGGGGATTTCAAATGGTCACTCAGATCAACATGCAAAATCTCTTCAGACGGCACAATAATTTAAAACATTGTGATAAATATGAGGTCAGTAGTCTGCATACGAATAATGCAAATAATGGTAACTTCTCATCATAGAAATTCAGATTGTAATTTTATTTTGAAGAAATTTTTTTTTTTTTTCAAAAATTGTAGCTCTGAAATTTTTTTTTTTTTTTCTTTTTCAGAAATTAACTTTTAATTCAGTTACCAATTCTCTTGGCCCCAGAAAATTTCTTCATGCAGGAACTTTGTTTAAAGTAAGTAAAATATATTTTTATTCACAATCCACACTCGTTATTTTCTTTCATTTTAATTCCTTCCTCTTCTGGAAAATGATTAGGAAAATCAATTTCTTCCATTGTTATTATTAAATCACAATTATTATTGTGGATGTGCAGGTGGTGCAATAGTTAGCAATTCAGAAAAAGAAATTGGCAAACTGAGTTCAAATTCTATCTGGGTCCATTATGTTCACTTTTGCACAATAACCCTTTGGAAACATAGGAATCCACTCTCCCCAAGGCCACTGATCTCACAGGGTTGGTCAAAAATATAAAATGGCAACAATTTACCCATGTTGTTTTTTGTTTCCATTTTCTCTGAAGCTTTTTTGTCATTCACATGTTCAGCATCCTTCTGTAGCATCACATTTCTACTGTTTCAGGTCTCTTCTTCATCTGCGAGGAGATTGTCTAGCATTACTGAATTCTAAATTTTTGTATTATCATTAAATAATAAAATTCTCAGGATGTAATAAATACCATTTTCAGACATTTAAGATATTTTTCTTTTAAACGAAGCTTGAATAAATTTTGTTATCTCCTTTCATTTTGAAGAAAAGAAAATGAATAAACCCACATTTCTTATTTACCATTTACTATATATATATATGTTTTCTTTTTATTTTCGCAGGCAAAAAGCAACAAAGAGCTTGTTGGATTTCTCTTCAATGATGTCCTTTTGTTGGCTCAATGCACCCGACAACAAAGTTCAACACGGGGACCATTTGTATTTGACTGTAAATCGAAATCACAGTATCGAATGTACAAAACAGTAAGAGAAGAAATTTATATTCATCCCCATTCAAGAAAAAAACTATTAACAAAATCAGATTAGGCTAAAAGCATATATCCACTCCAATTAAATTACTGCAAATTTAAAACTTCCACCTTTCTTTATTTTTTAAAGAAATGAATCTATTAACGCTATTTATATTGTTCAGACTGTTGTCCTCATCTTTATTGTCATATTCACAACATTTCAGCCATTGTATGCTCCTGCCTTCTTCAGGTGATATACGTTGGAATTTTGAACTGACCTTTTTATTTAGTCTTGTAGATTGTTCTAGTTCCATGTGCCATGCCTCTCTCAGATATCTCAATTTCAGTTATTTCCCTTTAGTAACTCAACTCTCCAAGTTTTGTTCATATCTGCTGTAGCCAGGTATTGAATCTCACAACTCTTTGGGTCAGGTCACTTTATTGCTTCAACCAATGCTTTTATCCAATTTTATTTCAACGTATATCACCTAAAGAAGGCCAGAGTGTACAACACCCAAAAACATTGTGAATATGACAATAAAGATGAGCACAACAGTACAAACAATGTAAATAGTGTAAGTAGTTACAAGGCCTCATCTCAGAAATATAGACAGATGTAAAAATGAATCTATTATAACAAATCTAGCATAATTTATATCTTAGTGTAAATAACCAAAAAAAAAATAATCTACTATAAAAAATAACAAAGAAATATCTATAATTGCACTTAAAATGACTTTCTCTGCAGTATTCAGTAAGTACAAACTAAGTATCCCATCATGCAACTGATGTCAAGTCAATCTTACAGTCAAACACATACTCATGAGTTGCCATTATCTCAGTCAAACCCAAATAAAATATTATCAAACTACAATACAAAAGAACTCTTTCAAAACACTAACCGAAACAATATTCTTAACTTAGTAAAGATAATCCAACTTTATACCAAAATATAAAACCATAAAAACTCCCAACAAAACTACATAAAACCTTTAATATATTTTGGAAAATGAAACAAAAGTTTAAAGAATCTTTCACATTTCATAAAGATCCCTTCCACTAAAAATAACAATGAAAACTGTAATAACCAAGTGTTTCCACTCTCCTCAAAATCTCCAGTCTCCAAATCAAAGGCCTTGCTGCTGGGTGTAGTTTATCATCATACCCAGCATTCTGCAGGTTAGAGACAGAACACTTTCCTCAGCATATGAGCTGTTCCAGGCAGTGTTACGTCCTATGCATAACCAATAATGACTTGTATCCTCAAGATGTCCTGTGTAATATTATTATTTGATTTGATATCCTCTCTGTCTCTTAGATGTTTTGACTGGGTGATGATGATCATATCTCAGCTCCTACCTGTAGCTTAAAGGTGCAATGTTTTCCTCAGCACTTGAGTTATTTCAAGCATGGCAGAAAGATTCCTGGAAATAATCCCAAGTGTGCCAACCAAAAAAAGGAATAACATGATTTGCTGTTTCATATATTTACTCTGCCAGGTCTTGGTACCTCCATATATTTCAACTTCTCCACCTTCATGATGTTCTTATCCCAAGGTTCTGCAACATCTTTGTGAACCACTGCCCTATGGAACAGACTCCCTAGAGGATGTTACCCCATTCACTACAATCTTAACCTGTTCAATTCTAGAGTCAGCCATTATCTTCCCCTCCTATCCATATAAACTACCCCTTATTATAACCCTCTACTTTGAGTGGCCTTCACCCGGGCCTTGTACAGTGTGAATCTTACTATAAAAAAAAATCTCTCAGGATCCATTGACGACTGGTGCACTAATGTGATATCAGGGCAACTGCACTCCAAGCACTTGTCACTCAAGATGGGTAGTGAAGCTTCACTTGTTCATTCTCAGCTCCTGGCAGTAGTGAATACTCGTACTTCTCTGCACAATTGAGGCCGTACTTCCTGTATAGTTTCCAGCAGGCTACTTTGTTGAGGTGTATTATTATTAAGGGACAAGGCAGCATGCTAAGAAATTGATGTTGTTGTGCAGATATATAAAGCCCATATACCCATCATGACACGGAGTCTGATAAGGTTGTTGATTGTTTTTGTTTAGTGGCATATCAACATCTCCATGGGTTATTTAATGCTGAAATCTAAATAATTAACCCATAGCTGGGGGGAAAATAGATGGATTCATATCTTTCCCAAGAGTATTTATGCACAAGTGAATATAAGAAACCCATCTAGATTTGGAACTTGGCTCTCTGATTAACAATTCCGAGCCATTATCCATTACACCTCCTGCACATTCAAGCTTACAGCACCTGGTACCATCTAGATACTGACCAGACTTGACATTGCTTAACTTTGGTGATTGTATGGGAACTGGTGTTTCAGTGAGATGTGACCATAAGAGTATAACAGGCATATTATTATTATTATTATTATTGATAAAGCAAGTAACGCTGATGTACAAATATAGGAGGCCCAATATATCCATTATGATACCCATTTTAGTAAGGGTATGCCAGGTACATGCATCACAATCAAATGTGTACGATATAGTGGTGGGTTTTTATAAAAGCGGCATCCAGCCTAGAAATTAGAAATACCTTCAGTAACCCAGTCCACTCAAATGGTCTCTGATCAAGGATGTTCTAGATGTGACTCCCAAGTTGTTTTATCTGTTCATACTTCATAATTAAAGAAAGACACCTCTCTCTCAACACCCTTTTATGTACAGAAACACACTGTGTCCGTCTCTAAGGGGCAAACAAATTTGTGGTGCTGAACAGTATATTTACTGTAGTCCCTACACCAAGACAAAACATGTAGTATTAGTATATTTTAACACTTCCAATCAATCGAGATCAAAAGCTATGGGCCATTCAAAAAATATAACATGAAGGCACCTTCATAATTTTTATATCCTTTTACTGTTATATTACAGAAATTTAAATATCTGGGAATTGTTCTGACAGAGGATGGAAAGTGTGACACTGAGATCAAAAGATATATTAGGATGGCCAAAGACACTTTCCAAAAGCTAAGCAGAGTATTAAAAGACAGAAAAGTTTCATTGGAAACAAAGAAAAGAGGACTGAACTGCTACATGATATTTGTCCTCTTGTATGACAGTGAATGCTGGACAATCTCCTCAAAGATGAAGAAGAGACTTGAAGCAACCAAAGTCTGGTTCTACAGAAAGATGCTCAGGATACCATGGGCCGAACATATGAGCAACGATGAGGTTTTGGAGAGAATGGAAACAAAGAGGAAACTTAAACTTAACACCAGGAAGAAGCAGCTGAAATTTCCAGGACATGTAAGGAGAAAGGAGAGCTTGGAAAATATGATACTCACAGGACAGACAGAGGGAAAGATGGACAGGGGAAAGCAATGATATAATGTGCTCGAGCAAGTGGATGGCAAAACAAGGTCTGGAAGAAATAACAAAAAGACAAAGCTTATTAAGAGCTACGAGGTACAGGAGGTGGTGGAGGGCCATGATCGCCTACATCATGAAGGGACACGCCACATAAAAGAAAATATATTTATAATTTTTTTTTAATCATTTCACCCCAAGCAAGATGGCAATGCCACTAGAACACAGGAGGTTACAGGGAGTGAAAGTGAATGAGAAGATTGAAAATGGGGAGGATTGAGGAAAGGGTAACAAAGGAAGAGGGTTCAAGAAAACAGAAAATGATGATTGATGTTGCCTTTAAATTTTTGAAGATTGTCGTTATAAGCAAGGCAAGGAAACGGAAGGGAGTTCCACAGGTGGGAAGTGTGATAAAAAAACTGTTAGATTACAAATGATGGTTGCATCTAGATAATTCAACAGTAAAATGGTGAGACCTTGTTACCAATCTAGTAGTATGCTTAAATTCATATAGTTGGGGCACTAGGAAAAAAAGCATATCCAGGCAGTTGCCGTGAAAATATTTGTAGGATAGGCAGAAGGAAGCCCGTTCATGTCAGTGAGAAAACGACTGGAGACAAGATGCTTGATCAGGACCAATTGTATTGCAGACCCTTCTCTGGATTTTGTCAAGAATCTCGAGATGCACAGTTGGATCATCAGTTCAGACATGGCAACGGTATTCAATACACAAAAGAATGATAGATTTATAAATTTTCAAGATGGATTCGGATGAGAAAAGCTGTCTGACACAACAGAGTAAACCAACCTTCTTTGCAGCAGACGTAGCAGTTGACTCGGTATAGTTGCTCCACTTCATGTCAGTAGAAAATGTGAGACCAAGAAGGCATAGAGTGTTGCTCTCCTGGTGTTTAGCATCAGCCATGAAAGCAAAAAAGCTTCTATGTGATGATTACATGAAAGCAGTTTTGTTTTGGAGGCATTGAAATTTGCAAGCCATTTCTTGCCCCATTTAACCATTGACTGGCAGTCATTTTCAAGAGTAGTTGCCAGATTTACTTTGTCAAATCTGTCAGGAGTAAATGGTAGTGCCATCTGCATAAATACCTAGTTGGAAACAGATGATACTAGCTGTACGTGCGGAAATTCCATGGAGTTTTTAAATTATAAATGCAAGTACTGTTTACTCGACATCAACATTGGCATCAGAAATAAATTACTTGTGCATGCTTCTTTGCAATTTTAATTATTCATGGAAAAATATTTTTGACAGGGAGTTCTTAAATACCAGATAGAGGACAGGAGAGGTTTTGAAAGATTTACTTATCCAAAAATATTTACAATGATATCTTCACTTCTTAATATCCATTTTCAATCAGATCTACAAATCAACAATTCACCCTTGCTTGGAGTATTGCTGCCATATATGGTCTGGAGCCCCTTCTGTTTGCCTCGGGGTTCTTGATAAGATTCAGAGGTGGATATGCAATATAATTGGGCCCTGATCTGGCATCTCATCTGCAGTCACTCTCTCACAGATGCGCCGTTGCCTATCTCTGTCTTTTTTACAAATACTTTCATGGTAATTGCTCCGAGGAGCTGCATTCACTGGTTCCCTGACTTCATGAATTCAAGCACCCTACGAGGCTGGCATCCCACTCTCACCCTTTCACTGTTGAAACTATTAAATGTAGCCGTCTCTTCTACTCCAATAGCTTCATATC